TTCAAAATGATTTGTTATGAAATGCATGGTTAACATCAAACCATAGACTAATACAAAAACATATAACATAAGTTGTCTACTTTCAGAGTCCATAGGAGGGGTAGGTTGACAATTTGTTAAATTATAGTTTTTATTTTATTTATTTTTCTTTTTTGGTGGATTTGTCGAATATCGAATTATCAAAAAATAAATAAATAGTAAAAGATTATTTTTTCAATCTATATTATAGTGTGCTTCAAAAACAAATCTAACATTGACTTATAAAATCCAAGTCTAACTGCATAGATAAATTTTGAGAAAAATGTTGAAGAGAGGGAGAGAGAGAACAAATAATCAGAGACAAGTAGTGTTATTGAATCAGTGACCGGACCTAATTCTGATTCGGATGACCCTTCAAACTCGGACTATACTAAAAAAATGGCTTAGAATTTGAAAACCAAAAAAACCGTCGGTTCACCGGTCAACATAATTGAAGTTTCTTTCAAAAATATGCTCTGGAGAGGGCTTGAACATGGAACCAAGTGCATAAAAACAAGCACTCAAACCATTAAGCCATCAACACATTTATTGACAACATAACAAGTATATATACTATATATTCAATATTGTCTTAATTATTTTTACTAAAAATCAACATATAAAAAACGTAAAATAAATTTTAAGAATTTTTTTTTGCAAATGTTTATTATTTATTAATTTTTGTAATTTTAATATATATATATATATATATATTTTATACTTCTAAATTTTAATATATTTATAACATAATTATGACATCACGGTTCAATTCCGATTCACCCGCGATTGAATCGGTGACCCATCCACCTGGTTACTTTTCTGGTTCACTCATCGATCCGGTTAGCAAAACATTGCTCTCAAACAATTGCCCGGTAATCTCTTTTGGGTTTTCGCAATCATTGTTAAGATAAAGGTTTCTTGGACTATTATCCATATTTGCAGTCATTATTAATAAGACAGATTGGATTATTTTCCTAATAAAAAATAAAAAATTTATGTCCACAAGTTTTATTATGCGAAAAATCTGTAAAATGTAAACCATCAAACTGATTCGCATCCATCCGCCAATCCGGCGAACAGTTGTGTATTGATTCTTTCCAATCTGCCTAATTTTGGAAGGATGACAAATTGGAGGTTATCAAGCCGCAACCGAACTGCAAGCACCCCTACCTATAACGGGGTTAAGGCGAGAGCGGGGGTGGAGTTTGAAAGCAAAGGTAGGAGCGTGGGATAACAAGCCCACCTCATGGCCAAACCTAATCAAAACCTACTTTGATTGGATTGGGTAAACCACATACTTGGCAATTTTTCAAACACTTTATGACTAATTCAATCACATAGTCAATTAACTAGGAGTATTTTGGACTTCAACACAGCATTAAGAAATCATGTTTTGAATTATTAAGAAACGATGTCGAACAGTATGCTACCCACATTCTTACATTAAACTCGTGGAACTAAAACTGTTTCAAAAATAAACTCAAACCCAAGTTGTAGGGGAGGGGGAGGGGAAACAATCAAACAGAGACAAGTGCAACAGAGGGAATTTGATTTGAACCAAAAATCATGAAAATATTGATACTTTGCCTTAAAAGAATTCACAGCAAACTTAGCATAGTATGGCATTGTTTACCATATAAAAGTTTTGATTTCTAAATGTACCATTTCTTCAGGTTGTTTAGAGGAGAAGAAATTTACAATAGGTCTTTCACAAAGACATCACGACTTCTCCAAATCTATCCTAATTCACTTCCAAACATCAAATCATGTGAGAATTTCGAGATACATAAATTTTGAGATGTGATCGAATGATCAGGAATGTATTGAAATAAAGAGACAAAAATTGAGGACTGAGTAGTTGGATAGCTGACTTAGTTAATTATTGAATGTGTGAATAGTTGGCAAGATTTACACCAATGAACAAGAACAAATTACAAACATTGTACCCCTATGAACATGAAGTCGCATGCATCAGGTGCATCTATGAACAATAATACCTCAATTTCGAAGCTTATATTATTGAAGAATCTCAAAAAGAGATTTTTATTACTGCAAACAAGACCTTATTAGGCTTTATATGAGCAAAGCTCCATATCCAAATTACAAGTACACCAGAGAACATGTTGACCTTATTAGGCTTTATATAGCAATTCCGGTTTTGACCCGACTTTTGTTATATGCCAAACTTGGGGTTTCGTGGTTTAATATTGTATTCATGTCTTGTTTTCTCTTTTGACTCCTTGTATTTGAGTTTTAGAACATGTTGAGCGAGTTTGGAACAGGTTGGTTGTTAGTTGGGTTAGATTGCTGTTGCCTAGATTTTGGCTTCTTCGCTCGAGCGAGGCTTCTTGCGCTCGAGCAAGCTTTTTGTAGTTTGCTTTTTCGTTCAAGCGATGTTTCTTGCGCTCGAGCGAGAATTGGGAGTCCTCAGGTTTCTTTCCTAGACGCAGAATTTCTGGAAAGATGAAGTTCTTCGCTCGAGCGAGACTTTTTGCACTCGAGCAAGCCTCGTTTTATTTGTTTCTTCGCTCGAGCGAGGGCGTGCGTCTGTGTAAGACCTGAAGGTTTGTATTCTATGTTTGAGCGAGGCTTCTTGCGCTCGACGAGCATGTGCGTCTATAAAACTTCTGAAGCTTTACATTCTGCGCTGAAGCAACGCTTCTGGCGCTCAAGCGAGGTTACTTGTTGTGTCTGGTCGCTCAAGCGACAACTCCTTCGCTCGAGCGAAGGTCGCGTATATCAGTTCGCAACAGCTCATTTTTACACAGAAATTTTACATCTTTTTGTCCTAAAACCCTAATCCAGCACTCTCTCTCTACAAACACTCCATGATCTAAGGGTCTCTCTACCCTACTCCCTTTGATAAAGAGTTAGAGCATCTTGTGGGCTATCTCTTGATCCGAACAAAATCGAATTTGGAGCATTTTGAAGTTCTTTCATTTCTTCTTTGGGCTTCTATACTTGAGGTAGGGATATTCTACTCTTTGATATGGTTTTTAACCTAGGTATTGGTCATTTTGTATAAATGGTGGAGTTGGAAGGTTATGGGTGAAGTTAGGGTTTGGGTTTGAATTTTGAAAGAGGGGTTTTCTATATTTGGCTCTATATATATAGGTAAAGACTTGATTATGATGTTATATGAGAATAAATTGTGAAATTGGGCATTGGGGATGATATTGGGAAAAAGGAAAGGTTTTGCCCTAATTTGTGTTAAAGAACTAATTTGAATAAATAATGAAATTGATGTGGGAAACATGAAATTGGAAGGGTGAATAATCGAATGGTGTAGTTGGATTAATTAAATCACTCGCCTATGAGAATTTGATAAATTATCTGTTTAAAAGATTGTATATCTGTTTAGAAATATTTGTTTTTGGTTATCGGAGGATAATTATGATTGTTGTAGAAACTACATGTGGATTAGGTGAATTGAAACCTATATTTTAATTTACCACATTGAATATGATGGTATGATCGAGATATTGAAAATGTGTTGTGGATAGTCATTGTATATGATAATGCTTTTAAATAAATTGTATATGTATCATTGTTTAGGAGGAGATAGGGGATAGACTCCATTTATAATTAAGTTGGCCGGAGTGTCCAGGGTGAAAATCTCGAAACCTTGTGCATAAATGGGTGTCGATTCCCTCGGATGAAAATTCCGTAAAATGGCAATGTTGAAATGGTTGTGTATAAATGGGTGCCGGTTCCTTCGGATGAGGATTCCGTAAAATGGCAAAATGTTGAAGTGTTTGAATAATAGATGTTGTTAAAGTGTAAACCAATGAATTGTAATTTCATTTGGTGTGTTTAGATGACAATGAACTTGACTCATAAATTGAATTAAAAAGGATGGATGGAAACAGATTGAGATGTGAAAATCTACGATGAATGGTCTTGGAAAAAATATAAGTTTGTCATGAACATTGAATATAATTAAACTTGGCATTTATACCTTAGTTAAATCCCATATATTGTGTTAGTTTATCTCTACTGGGCTTTGGCTCACCCTACTTGGGAAACCATTTTCAGGTATTGGTGATATGTTTCCCTCCAAGGACGTAGCTTGGGAGGACTTAGGAGCTGGAGGCTCTACTTTGTATTTTGTGTTTAAATATTTGTATTTTGTGTATAGAGCTTATGGCTCTCATTTGTTGTAAGTTATGTTTTGGAAAGATGTAAGCCCGTAGTACATTTATTTTGTTATTATTAACACATGTTATATGTTGTAGGTTCAGAATGAATATCTATGGATGTATTATTCTTGTAACAACTGTTGTAACACAAACTCTGATGAATGAAGTATATCATTTCTAATATATTCATGGATCTTATGGAATGGATTATTTGTATTATTTTGGGGGCGTGACAGCAATTCTTCAAACACTTTATGACTAATTCAATCACAGTCAATTAACTAGGCATATTTTGGACTGCAACACAGCATTAAGAAATCATGTTTTGAATTATTAAGAAACCATGTTTTGAATTATTGAGAAACAATGTCGAACAGTATGCTACCCACCTTCTTACATTAAACTCGTGGAACTAAAACTGTTTCAGAAATAAACTCAAACCCAAGTTTTTTTTTTTTTTTTTTTTTGGGGGGGGGGGGGGGGGGGGGGGGGGGCTGGGGTGAACAATCAAACAGAGACAAGTGCAACAGAGGAAATTTGATTTGAACCAAAAATCGTGAAAATATTGACACTTTGCCTTAAAAGAATTCACAGCAAACTCAGCATAGTATGGCATTGTCTACCATATACAAGTTTTGATTTCTAAATGTACCATTTCTTCAGGTTGTTTAGAGGAGAAGAAATTTACAATATGTCTTTCACAAAGACATCACGACTTCTCCAAATTCTTGCGTCCCTCTATCCTAATTCACTTCCAAACATCAAATCATGTGAGAATTTCGAGATACATAAATCTTGAGATGTGATAGAATGATCAGGAATTATTGAAATAAAGAGAAAAAATTGAGGACTGAGTAGCTGGGTAGCTGACTTAGTTAATTATTGAGTGTGTGAATAGTTGGCCAGATTTACACCAATGAACAAGAACAAATTACAAACATTGTACCCCTGTGAACAAGAAGTCGCATGCATCAGGTGCATCTGTGAACAATAATACCTCAATTTCGAAGCTTATATTATTGAAGAATCTCAAAAAGAGATTTTTATTACTGCAAACAAGACCTTATTAGGCTTTATATGAGCAAGGTCCATATCCAAATTACAAGTACACCAGAGAAGACATCCTCGTGGAGAAAAAGGTAGAAACTTGTCTCGAAAATCAAAATTAAGCAGCTGCAAGGCAAGTAATAATTTCATCAATATACTTATCTGAACTTCCGCCTTCATCCACTGCCTCCTTGGCCAACTCCTTCCACTGCATAGCCGCCTTCTTAATCTCTCGTCCTCTCTTTCCTTTCATAACTTTTCCAATGCATCTTTCAATTTCTTCCTTAGTAGCAATACCTTTCTCATCCACCTTCGCTACAACTCCCACTCCCCAAACTTGCTCCAGAAAATGTGCGTTAGTTGTCTGGTCCAGAAACTGCGGCATTGCCACCACTGGTACTCCAAAGCTTACGGCCTCCACCGTGGAATTCCATCCACAGTGTGTTATGAAGCATCCCACAGCATGGTGGGCTAACACTTCCAACTGGGGGCACCATGTCACTATTAATCCCCTTTCTGATGTCTCCTCCACGAAACCACTGGGAAGCTTGCTCTCTTCGGTTGCCCTCACCACCCACAAGAAGTTGCTGTTGCTTTGCTTTAGGGCCTCGGCCATTTCAGCCATCTGTTCTGCATTCAAACTTGCAACGCTTCCATACGAGACATACACAACAGACCTGGTATCTTTAGTGTTTAGCCACTTCAAGCAACCTTCATTCTGTGGTTTAAACAGATGGAAGCCATAATCAGAGTCATTGTCCACTCTCTTGTCAAGGTAAATTGATGGCACAGTTGGTCCAATTGCCCTAACAGGCCAGAGATCTGACATCCACTTCATTACCTACAATTCAGAATGTCAACTTATCTTAGCAATGTTTCTAATAATAGAGATTGAATATAATCCAATTCAACAAAATTGAACTTGAAAAGACAAAAGTTAGAACTGCATTCAACTCACATCTTCTTCCAACTTATCAAAGGAGTTAAAAAGAACCCAATCTGCTTTCTCAATATTGCTGAATTGCTGCAATATGTGTCTGATTATAGGGGGATAACGACCTGTGTCAGACTCGAAAGTTGGCACCACTGGAATCTTGAGCTCTGGCACTGCAAGCATTGAAGAAGCAACCACTGGCATTGGCTCTCCTAATGAGTCGAGATGCATTGGGTAGTAACCCGCAATGGCAGCACATGACTGAGTAAAAAATGTGGCTCCAGCTATGCCCAATTGCTTGGCTATGTTGAGAGCCCATGGCAAATTACCATCATACACCAGACACTTAACAGGGTACTCTGAGTTTTGTAGTTTCTTGATGAGCTCAGTTAAGCATAGTGTGACACTCGCTTCAAACCTTTCGAGATAGCCCTTAAATCCTCCAGGTCCATGAAACCCACCGTCAGTGGAGTCATCATATACTGATTCAAAGGCAATTGACCCAGCTCCACTTGGCATGGTCTTGGTGACTGAATGAATGGTAGTTACAGTGACTTTAAGTCCTTTCGAGGCCAAACGTTTGGAAAACTGGAGCATCGGATTGAGGTGGCCTTGTCCATAGAAGGGGAGTACCATAACGTGAGCTTTGTAAGCTGTCTCTTCCGCCATTCCTCTATGAATTGCTTGTCTCGGTGTCACTATATTTTACAAGCTGCTAGATTAGTACTTACCTCCAGCTGAAAGGAAACAAAATCAGTGTGTACATATATGTGAGAAGCAAGTATGGTACTGAAGTAATTATTCCCTCCAGAAAGTAAATAATTATGAACATCAGAAAACATATTCCGAAACAGTTCGCTGTTTAACAAAAACGGTGGCTTGGACCAATCATTTTTAACACTAACCAATTCAAACCCGATAAACATCCAATTGGAAAAGGGGGAGAACATCCCTTGATTTATACATAACAAGTACAGACAAGTTATAGAGAGAAGACCGTTCGTTCAACCAAATTAGCATGTGCTTGTGCTACCGATCAATGAAAGCAAACAATATATACAATAGAAATGTTTCAGATAGACAAGGCACAAACTATAACACTCCGTTTGGATAAAAGACAAGATATGATTATAGTCTCTCATCTACCAAAGACGGACCCAAAGCTGATAAAACGCAGTCTAGGCCATCGTTGTTTTCATCCTTCGCTCGCCCTACTGCTTCTAAGGATACTTTAATGGGAATGAAAGTTGTTGGGTGATAGAAGGAAAGTATTTTTGTTTTTTTAAGGTAGACCTTAGTCGAGAACCACCCCTCATTCTAAGCACGTAGTTTTTTCTTTTTTTTTTCCCCTTACAAGAAGACCCATTTTATCTTCTCTCTCATTCTCTCTGTTCAATTGATTGAAACGCTCAAGTCTCCCTTTGTCTATATTATTAACAAACTAAATAACACCACTAAACGGAATTTCTATCTATGCCATTGCTAATTATAAACAAAATTCTCAAGATAAGTAAAAAAAATAAAGAGATTGGAGGTGGGAAGAGTTGCTGGTTTCACTTGCCAGTCAAGAGTTGGCTCGCGGTTGATTCACCGTCACACCTGAAAACAGAATGAATCAACGGCTACTGAAGGAGTTGAGTGGAGAAAATTTGAAGATAACTGATACTATCTTCTTTAGCAGAATTGTAGTGTTGACTTTTACATTGTACATTTTACTGTGTATATATAATATGCAGAATGTTTAGATGTATCGAAAAGAACGTTTCTGAGTATAATTTGCAGAATATTTAGGGTGTATCGAAAACGGGTATGTCCCCTTATCACAAAGGTAACATAACATAGGATCATATTGTTTGGTGAATTTTATGTTGAGTGGTGTGATCTATCCGGGAACTTTCTCTCTTAGTTGTTACATTTGTTGACATATTTATTAGTGTTTCTCTCGTTATATTTACTTAGTTGTTATATTTGTTGATATACTTATTTATTGTTATATTTACTTTTGGTATTATGATATCTTAATATACTTCCACTCTATTTAGTTCATTAAATAAAATGAAATCGAATTGAATGATCATTTCTTATAGAATGATCATCTATATATAACGGTGAATGATAATTTAATTTGTAATGTATTTTTTATTTTATTTTAATCAATTGAATGTGAAAACAAACATTTTAAAGAAATGATTTCATTGTATTTCATTAGAGTGAACCAAAAACTAGCTTACAAGTCTTTCACTACAACAAAACACAGATTTGACGACTAAAATTGGCGACTAAAACAAATTTAGTCGCCAAAAGTTTTGGAATTGGCGACTAAAATGTTTTTTTGGTCGCCAAAAGTATAATATTTAGCTACTAAATTTTTTTAGTCGGGATATATTGACTTTTGGCTACTAAAAAATATTTAGTCGCCAATATCTCATACTTTTCCCTACTAAAACATTAGTAGCCATTTATAGGACTTTTGGCGACTAAATTTTTTTTAGTCGCCAAACCTTCCCCAACCGTTTTCCCTCGACAAACGTAGTGACCAAAATATTTAGTCGGGAAAAGGCTTCGGCGACTAAAAATTTAGTCGCCAAAAGTACATTTTCTTGTAGTGTTTGAATCATATCTAAAAATTCTTCCACCTTGATATCTTTACATAATTTAAAGATTATGAGTGTTTTGGGATAAAGATGGAAATATTTGAAAGGTATGATTAAATTATTTAAAGTCATTTATCATCCTATGTGTGAACATATATAAGAGGTGGAGCTGATTATACTAAAACTAGGGTTGAGAATTTTTTGGCCAAAAATTCTTTTATACTATTTCGTTTACAATTGTGTTTCAAATAATTGTTAGTGTAACAAGATAGAGAGATATGAAGTTTTGGAATAAAAAATCTCTAATCTAGTACAATAATGACATATAAAATGATAAATGAATTTAAATAAACAAATATGGTCATTTATAGAATTATTATTCTTTAAAATAGTTTGTTTCTTATCTTTAATGCATTATAATGCAGCATTTTTATTTTTCGAAATTCCACCAATAAAATTTAAAAAGCATATTTCTAGGAAATGTAAATTTATATTTCAGTCAATTAATGCATTATTTTAGTTAATTTGTTTTGATATTATTTGCTACATGAACCAAATAGAGATTACCGCCAAAATATATTAGCCAATTGATAAGGGCAATGTGGGAACTATGAAAAAAAAAAACAAAACAGAACCAGTAGGAGTGTATATTAAAGCACAGGAGACAAAAGCTTTGATTTGATTTGATTTTTTTAATTTTTTTTTTTAAGTTGAGAGAGTATGAAAAATCGAGCTGGAGTATATATATATGGTATATATTAAAGGAGAGGAGACAAGGCTTCGAATATTTATTTATTTTTTTAAAACAGAAAATATTTAGAGGAGAGAGAAAATGTAAAAAATAAAAGAAAATAAAAAAATAAAAATCTTATCCTTTTTTAAACAAGTGAGTGGTACCCGAGGAGGCAGCAAAAATGGTGAGAAAGGGAATATTGCCATCCAAATCCGACAATTCAGTGAATGATTTTAATATTTTTAAAAAGAAATATTAAGAAATTACATAATTTATGATAATATTAGATATTTCTAGAATAATATCATATATTCTATAATTTAAAAATATTTCGATAAAATATGTGTTACATTACTACAAAAATATTAATATTATTGCAAAATATTTATTTTTTTTTTGAATTTTAAATTATTGTAACTCTATCAAAAAATTATATAATATTTATTATAAAAATACATAATATGTACTCAAAGAATTCGTAATAAAATGCATATAGTATACTATTATTTTTAGAGATGTTTTTAGAAAGGATTTCCTTTTTAAAATGTTAATTTTGAATAATGTGAATGGTTGCATATCCATGACCAACTAAAATTCAACTTTTTATGATTCTTTATAGTGAATTGTGCCTCCGTTTGGGAAGTGGGTTGGCTTTTTGGCTTTTTGGCTTTTTTGGCTACGCAAAAGGTGACTTTTTGCGACGGTAAAAAATACCGTCTCAAAAAACAGAGTATTTGCGACGGTAAAAAATACCGTCTCAAAAAATAGAGTATTTGCGACGGTAGAAAAATACCGTCGCAAAAAAGGAGAGATTCATGCCATCACCTAACCTTCCAGAGGAGAGATTCATGTCACCGATGTGGGAGCCGAAACATGGAGAGAGAGAGGTGACTATGGAAGTTTTGGTGGGAGAAGAGGTGGTTCACCATTTGGATTTACTGGCCCTGATGTGAGGTCGGGTGATTGGTATTGTGCTGTTGGCAACTGTGGTGCCCATAACTTTGCTAGTCGCTCGAGCTGCTTCAAATGCGGCATGTTTAAGGAGGAATCGTCAGGTGGCTTCGATGGTGATTTGTCCCGTGCAAGAGGTTATGGGTTTGGCGGAGGTGGCAGTGGCGGCAGTGGCAACAATCGCTCTGGATGGAAATCCGGTGATTGGATTTGCACTAGGTAAAGTTTAATTGGCACACATCTATGTTTATAATGACCAACTAAAATTCAACTTTTTATGATTCTTTATAGTGAATTGTGTATAATATACCTTGGAGTACCTCAAAATGCATTCGTTTTGGAGCAAAAACCAAAAATTAAAAAATAAAACTTTCTCCTTTCATCTCTCCCTTCCTCACAAATATTATTTGTGATTAATATTTTAATGTCTTGTATTACATCATTTATTTTTTTTTATTTTTTTAGAGAGTGATTCATTTATTTATTGTTGAGGTGAGAGATAACAAATTTTAGATATAACATAATGTGTATTTAATTTAAGATTGATTACCTTTCAACATCAAAACTGACTTTAATAGTAGATATAATATACTGTGTATTTAACATAGGATTGGTTACCTTTCAATATCAAAATTGGCTCTAATTGGGACGTTAAAGCCACTTTTAGCGACTTAACCTCTTTTCCAACACTACTATTTTGTCTTACACGGTGGATGCCACTATTTGTCTTGCACAAATAAATATTAAAAAAAAAATTAAAATTAAAATTTTAAAAAATTTGTTGTGGAGTGAATTTTTGTGTCATACAACATTATTATTTTTTAAACAATAGATAATGGAGTTTTGTATTCACAAATTTGTTAACTCTGTCACGGATACTTTTAAGGGTTTTTTTTTTTTTAAGATTTTTGATATTAAGATTTTATAACATAAAGGATATTCAATATTTTTCTAATGTCTAAGATCCCTCAACATAATAAATATTAAAAAAATAAAAATTAAATTAAAATTTTAAAAAAATTGTTGTGGAGTGAATTTTTGTGTCATACAACATTATTATTTTTTAAACAATAGATAATGGAGTTTTCATATTCACAAATTTGTTAACTCTGTCACGGATACTTTTAAGGGTTTTTTTTTTTTTAAGATTTTTGATATTAAGATTTTATAACATAAAGGATATTCAATATTTTTCTAATGTCTAAGATCCCTCAACATTGATCCAGAGAAATTCCAATCCAAAGAAATTCTTTCCAGAAAAATTCTCTCCAAAGAAATTCTGGATTTCCCAAAGAATTTCCCTAACTTCAATCCAGAGAAAATTCAAATTTCCCTGAGTTTATTTTGACCAATTTTCTCTGGGTTCAAATTCAAATTCAAATTTCTCTAGATTCATTTATAAACCAGAGAAAATTCAAATTTCTCTGGATTCATTTTAACCAAAATTTTTTAAATTTCTGAACTAACATAAAAAACCTTTGAACCTTTTACAAATTTCTCTGGACTAACATCAAATTTCTCTAACCCTTGAACCTTTCACAAATTTTGTTCCCATAGAAATTCCGGATCCATTCCAGAGAAATTCTGATTTTTTTAGAAGCCATCACCAAAGAAATTTTGATTTTGTTCCCAGAGAAATTCTGGATCCATCCTAGAGAAATTCTCTTCTCAAAGAAATTCTGATTTTCTCAGAAGCCATCACCAAAGAAATTTTGGATCCATCACCAGAGAAATTCTGGATCCATCCCAGAGAAATTCTCTTCCCTGAGAAATTCTAATTTTCTCACAAATCACAGAAATATGATGAATATTACACACACAAATCACAAAAAGTACAAAACATTTTTCAACCAAAAAGGAAAATGAAATTACCTGAACAAAAAACCCGGAAACAAATTCTAGAGAGAGAAAATGCATTGCTAATAATAACAAATGGTGGCAAGGCACTCTCAGGAATGGAACTTTTAGAATCAAAGAAGCTCAAAAACAGGATAAGATTGATGGGTCACAAATTAAAACTTGAAATTTTGCAAAATAAATTACAAATTTCCAACTTGAATAAGAGAGGATTTGGAAACCTAATTAGAAAAATGCAATCTGAGGAATAAATTGAAACTCTGAAAACAAAATTAAAAGAAAAGGAAAAAAAGAAGAAGAAGAGGGTATAAGGAGATACTTTGAAATTAGAAGAGGATTTCCAATTCTCTCTCTTTCTCTCCCTCCCTCTTGATTTTGAGTTTTCAATCAAGAGTTTCTTAAGCAAATTTTTGCTTTTCTTTCTGGTAATCTAGCAGATTTGATTATCAGTGTCTTGGTTTTCTTAATTATATCAAGAGTATTCTGATCTACTGTTGTCAGTGCAGATGATGGTAGACTTGATCTTTAAATTAGGCTTCATTGTATCCTGGAGGCGAATTTGTTGTAACCCCCTGCACGCCTTTTGGTGGGTGCAAATATTATCTTTAAGAAAGCAACTAAGTAACATAATTTGAAGCCTCATATTTTTGTTCTACATAGACAAGTTCATCGCCAAGTTTTGAAGACTCGTAGACCACCAACTAAAGAATTCAAGACGAATTGTTCCAACAATCCATGGATGTGGCTGTCCATATTCATGAGGGAATTTCTAATGGTTGAAGGAGATCTGCAGGATAGACATTTTCAGCTTTGTTCCTTTGGCATGGATCACATTCCTTGATGTAATTCTTAATCTCTTTTTTCATCCCGGGCCAGTAAAAATCTGTTTTCATGGAGTAATTCACTCTTTGATAGGTTTTGTTGAAACTAGCATGTCCTCTTATTGGACTATCATGGAGTTATGCAAGAACTCGGCTTCGAAATGAGGATAGAGGAGAAAGGTAGAAACGCCCTTTGTAGAACAGAATGCCTCTTGCTTTAATAAACTCGATAGAATCCATCTTCCTGTCCTTGAGTTGGGAAACTATGTGTTGGACCTGAGCATCAATAGCATGCTCTCTTTATAATTCTTTTACCCACGTTGTCCGGCAGACTAATTATATTAATTTCTCATTCTCACCGTCCTTCCGAGATAAAGTATCTGCCACAGTATTGAGTAGCCCACTTCTATACTCAACAGAGAAATCATAACAAAATAGCTTTGAAACCCACTGTTGTTGCACTAGAGTGCCTACCTTTTGTTCTAATAGGAACTTGAGGCTTTGTTGATCAGTTTTAACCACAAACCTGTGACCAAACAAATATGATCTCCATTTCCATATCACAAGCACTAGAGCTAACAATTCTTTTTCATAGGCTGAAAAAAAATAAAGTCGTTCCTTTAAGTCCCTTACTGAAGTCAGCCAATGGTCTACCCTCCTGGGTGAGTACTGCTCTAACTCTGGTGCCTGAAGCACCGCACTCGACATAAAATGTTTTATTGAAATTGGGTAGAGTTAAGACCGGTGGACTGGTCATGGCTTCTTTGAGTTATGTGAAGGCTAATACAAATTCCTCAGTCCATGCAAAAGAGTTTTTTTTTTTTCCCAGCATTTCAATCATAGGGAGTGCAATCTTCCCATAGTCACGAATATACTGACTACAATAACCAGTGAAGCCTAAAAACCCCTGCAAGCCTTTAATGTTGTTCGGCCTTGGCCACTTTAACATGTATCTGATTTTTTCGAGATCGGCTTTAACTCCTTTTTCTGAAATGACATGGCCTAAATATGTAACGGCAGTGCAACCAAATGCACACTTGCTCTCTTTGGCATAAAAACAATTAGTAGGAAAAACATCTATAACAAGTTTAAGGTGAATCAAGTGATCATCCCATGATAAACTGTAAACTAATATGTCATTAAAAAAGACAAGTTTGAACCTTGTAAGGAATGGCCGAAAAATTTCATTCTTGAGATCTTAAAATGTAGCAGGTGCATTCGTAAGCCCAAATAGCATGACCAAAAATTCATAATGACCTTCATGAGTACGGAAAATAGTTTTGGGAACATCCTCCGACTTGACTCGAACCTGGTAATACCCAGATGGAAGGTCTAGCTTTGAGAAGAATCGAGCCCCATGGAGCTCGTCGAGCAATTCCTCAATGGCTGGAATAAGAAAGTGATCTTTTATCATTTGTTGATTGAGGGCGCGATAGTCAATACATAATCTCCAAGACCAATCACTTTTTCGAACTAGGAGGACCGGCGAGGCAAAAGGACTTTGACTAGGCCGAATGACCCCTAACTGTAAAAGTTCAGCAACCAACTTCTCAATTTCTGTTTTCTGTACATAAGGATAATTGTATGGGCATATGTCCACTGGTTGTGCGTCTGGCTTAAGAGGAATCTGGTGATCTTGCACCCAGGAGGGGGTGAGACCCTTTGGTTCATCAAATACATCAGCATATGAAGAGAGAATCACTTGGATGGATTTGCAAGCTCCCTGTTTCTCTACTTTAACTCATTTAATGACTTTGGAAAGAGAGTAGATTTGCAAGAAAATGCTATAATTTCGTCGCGGATGCAGCTTCCTTACCCTTTTGTCCTGTAGAATTTCAAACTCTTTCTGTTCAATGCCTTTAAGAATGCGAATATTTTTTCCTATTGTGAACTACATTATGAGGTTTGTGAAATCCCAAGTGATATGTCCTAACTTTTGAAGCCATTGAGCGCCCAGCACTGCCTCATAACCACCTAGGTCCAAGAGATAAAAATCAACTTCTATGTAGTTTAATCTTAACTCCGAAACAACTACCCAAACAAGGCACTTGAGATCCATTAGCCATTGCCACCTGCCTTCCTTGCTATGAATGGGTTAAAAAAATTGTGTACTACCGAAGTCTATAAGTCCCATGATAGGAATCTGATTCAGCTCTTCTTGAATGCGCATAGTCTGTGGTGATTGGCTTTCTGCAATGGCATGCAAAGAAATCTCCAGAGATAAGGAGGGATCCTCAACTCCCTCAAGATCTTCATGCTCGTCGTGTTTGCCGTCATTCTCTCCGTCAACCGGCTAATTCTCTTTCATTAAGAAGTGTTTTTTGGGTTCTACACTTGTGGCTGGGAACAAATTTGTCATCACAATTATAGCATAAACCTCTCTCTCGTCTTTCCTTCATTTCCGAAGGAGTCAACTTTTTAATGATAGGAGAGGAAATTTTAGAACTACAAGAGTTATTACCCAAGTTGAATCTTCCAAGGTCGGGACGAGATTTCTTCCTTGCTGCTACCTTTTCTTCTTGCATTCGGGCCAGCCCAATAGCATCAAGCAGATTGGTTGGTTTTAGCATCTGCACACTATAAGTCGGATGTCTTCTCGAAGTCCGCCTACAAAGCAACTCACCATAAAGGACTCATTGAGTCCCTCTGTTCGGTTTGCGAGTTGTTTAAATTGGGTCTGGTAATACTCTATTGTAGTTGACTGTTGAAGCTTAGTTAACAATGCCGCTAGATCCTCATATTGGGAAGGACCAAAGCGTACCAGGAGGGCTTTGGAAAATTCTTCGTAATTGGTGATGGCTCCTGACTTCTCCATCTAGCGAAACCACTTAAGGGCCTTTTTTTCCAAGTGAATAGATACAAGAGTTTTTGTGAAGTTGGGGTCTGCTGGTGCACAAAGAACTATTCTGCAGGGTACAACCATCTAGAGGGGTCAGCCCAATCAAGGTGGGGAAAATCTAGCCGTGCCATGCAAGTGTGGATTGTTTGATCCCCTTCTCCACTTGCAATGGCAATGCTACCATGTCCTGAGATTGGCATCGAAGTGGTCCCCTGTTAGGAGCGTTGGCTGGTAGTGAAACCCTCCACCTATAAGTTTAAGATAGTCATTTGCTTCATCATTTCCTGTATCAATCTGGCTTGTCCTTCTAGTTTGTTCATTACGTCATTAAGCTTTGCTCCACGAGTTGTGTCTGCCATGCCAAGATCGATGCTCTGATACCAATGTAAAAGACCTTACTAGTTGTATGTGAAAAGAAGAGTACTGCTAAAAAAGCTGAATATCTTTGGGGTTCTTCGAGGGACCCCTTTCCTCCTACAATTTGTTGGTAAAAGAATATGCTTCCTCACTGTGTGTTTATTCCCAATATAAATAGAAAACCTCTCCTTGAATCTGGGAGTAGGATAAGCAAAGCTAAAGGGATAACAATCTAATCTCTTAAAGAGATAGCAACCTAATCTCTAAGGAAATGATTACTACTAACTAGAAATCATAAATTATAAATTGAAGGATAAGATTAGCTAGCTAAGCCTAATTAGCTACGTAACAATAAGCTGTTTATCTTTGACTTTTTTGCTTAGTAGTATAAGGCACAATTTTGAACTTAAAAAACTTATATGTTTAATATGTTATGACAATTTATTCATCTTTTTTAGGTGTATGTAAGTTTCACAAAAACTTAATTTTATCATATTTGTAATCACTATTCAATGAAAATAAATAAATATATGTTATATATACATAATATTTTATGCATAAACTAATTTAAACTAGAAAGTAAATAACATAATCTTTTTCTTTGTTGAATTAGCTATTATAATATAGGTTATTATAGGTTTGAACTTGATTAAAGTTAAAATTTGACGAATGTTCCAGGAGAAATTTACCCCACTAGGCTACATTTTATATGGTTTGGGAATTGGCTATGCCAAAACTATAATTTATCATATTCTTCATATAATTTCTCGGAAGCTTTTCATTACCGCAATCTTTTCCATTAACGTTTTGCTCCTCCAATGTGAAAATTTTGCTCCTCCAATGTGAAAATGTCTAAATCATTTTTTTATTTATTTTATTTTATTTTTGAGAACAAGGAAAACAATATTATTAAAAAAATAAAAATAAATAAATAAAACAGCATACAAAGGAAGATCTCAAAGGGCTACCGGTACAACAAAATGAAGAAGAAAAAGAATCAAACCAAAAGAACAACAAAGCTGCCAAAAAATAGCAATAAGCCAGAGAAGATCACCGATCTACTCGGGATCTAGGAAGTCAGAGAAAATCTCTAAATCATTGTAACTTATGTCTTGAATTTTTTTCCTTCCTGTTATTTGTTTTTTCTCATAACAAATAAAAATCCATCATTTTTTTCCATAATACTCAATTATTTTGCATGACAAGGCTATAAATAAATAAAAAAAATATTAGAAACCCTAAACTTTACCCCAAAAATAGGAGAGAAAAAACAAAGGGTCAAAAAAGGAAGCTGGAATTCCTATACACAATCGGCCTACAAAAGCTCTGGTGAGGAAGGCAAGTGATTTATTTGTTCGTCTTTTTCTCACAACAAATAAAAATCATCTTCTCACAACAAATAAAAATCATCGCTTTTCTATAATCCTCCTAAATTCCCCTCGATACAGAGACATTCAATTTATTTTACATCAAAAAGTTACAAAATGTTGTTTTAACAAAGAAAACCATGAACTTTAAAGAAATTTATATGATATAAATTTACGTGAGAGTATTTAAACAAGGATCAAAAAGGAAGTTTCTAGAAGCACGTTTGCAGTCTCTCCTAGAAAAGCTCTAGTGAGAAAAGCCAACAAGTGATTTATTTGTGTGCTTTCTAAAACGGTGTCTGCCCGATGTTTGATTGTAAGGACAATAATGAGAGAATTTCCGTCACAGAAGCCATGGCACTCAACGCTGCTTTAAGTACATCCTGCGAACACCCTGGCTTCACGATGGTTCTCACCTGGAAAAAGGAGACCAAAAAAATATATATATATATTAATAATAAGAAAAAGAATCCAACATGAAATGAAACAAATAATAAACATGAGAATACGTGCTAAAATCAGATTCATTGAAATGCAAGGACCATGTCATAATCCAAAGTAACAATCCTCAACACCTAACATAACATCAGTCCACTGGGGATTATAATAAAGAAGATGCAAATTTTCAGCACCTTGTCAAGATACTCCTGCAGTTCCTTGATACGGCCCATGTAATCCTGGTCTTCAACGCACAGAGTTACAGCTTTAGCATCAACACCAGGACCATCAAATTGAATAGGTCCAGGGTTTCTGTAAACATCGTCCATCAAAAACTTTGTCGCATTTTGTTTCAGCAGCCTGCAACCAAGACCAAACAATGATTTGACAGCTGTGAGACAAGATGATAAGCAGTGCTTCATTTAACTTGAAAAACATACAATTTTCTAGCAAACAACATATTTACATACATCACCAATCAAGATTAATAAGACAAGGTTAAACCCCTTAACTAAATAAGGAATGAAAATAAAACACAAAAATAATAATAATAATTCTAATCCAACGTCAAGAAAGCATTTGAAAAATCATGAGAGAGACGTACTCGTATGGTTTGCCTTTCAAATCCACGGTAGCAGGATGCAGAGCAGGTTTTCCAATTGATGAGGCCCCAACACCGCGGCCATAACGCTTTACAGTCATCATTGCCTGAGGTTTATTAATTCAAGAAGTCAACTTTCTCTGCCATTGCAGGTATTAGCAATGGAGAGAGAACCAAAAACACTAACACAAAACAACAGTAAGGTAATGCAACAGATTAACTCAACTGCTTTCAACAACAAAAGGACATAAGAAAACCACAAAATCTAAATTCCTAAGTTCTAGGCCGACATGCCTATAAAATCATTAAGTGAGATATAAAACCTACTGTAATTGGAGCTGCACCACAACGCCACCTGTTCACGGGATGTTTCAAATTAGTAACAGTTGCCAAGTAACCATTCAGACCAGCTGCCAGAATATGATAACAGATATGCCCAAGAACCTGGCACAAAGGCATCGTTAATGAAAAAGGAAAATATTTATTATGAAGACTAGAGAGCTGAGGTAATGCAGCCTTGAGCCAGAACATACATAAGCATAATCACAATCAAATTTTGATGGTAAAGATCCCCTTGCTTGATAACCAAAAAAGTGGCAGATGGCATTAAACTTCTTCCCCTTGTAAGTGCCTTCTTTCTGTTCAGATCACAGTAAACTTTGCAGTGTGAGGTCAAAAATGTCATATTGCCAAATAAAATCCACAAAAGCATTTCGACTGTAAGACCAATAAAAAAAAACCCAACAAATTGTGCTTTTCTCATCCCATTTTCCTCACACTTAGAAAATGCAATTAAGATATTTTGGTCAATTTACAACAGTACATTAGAAATGGTTGCAGGTAATAACAAAGTCAGCTGCCATTTCAAAGAATGACAACTAAAACAGCTACACATTGTGCACGAAATCAGTGTCAAGTTTCACTATTGATTTTGATAATCATAGTCAAAGAAAATCACCTGCTGTGCTACAAAATGCTTTGTCATTACCAGGACTGACATTCCATAGACTGACTGAAGACTACATGTTACCAAATTTCCAAAGGCCCATGTTTGCGTTAAAGAAAAAAAAAAATTAAATTTTTTTTGCAGAATTACATGTTAACTTCTCCCATATTTTACTATAGAATATCCATATCTGTAATATGCATTCAACAGGAGCAATGGCATTTATTAAAGCATAGCCTTTCTTTTATTGCTTTTTGGACTATTATTGATTTAGTTGATTCCATACTGTTATGAGTTAAATTCTATTTTCTTTGCAAATACATGCCTGTAAAATCTGCCAAGTATAACATTTCATTCCCAAAATTTATTTATATATAATGAAAGGTCACTTATCCTGATAGATTAGCTAACTTTCTTTTGCAAAAATGGAGTTGAAATAGAATTGCAAGGGAAATAAAAACATTAAAAATTCATAAATAGTAAACAGAAAAAAAAAAAAATACAATCTTGAAACATATATGACTTAATAACAGAAGATGCGTGATTGTTTTTTGGGGGGTACTTTGAATTAAATAAGAGCTAAATAAATATCCAGACAGAGGTGTCTATAATTTACCAATCTCTTGTTCATTTCTGCTTCGACAAGAAAAGCTAGAAGTTTCTCAGTCTCAATCTGGAAAAAGAACAAAAAGGGAAAACAATCATTAAATAACATTTACAAGTTTCTATTTCATAGCACCACAAGGATCTCAGCGGCCTAAATACCTGCGATAACTGTGCAGAATCATCAGATTCTGGGTAGAGGAGGAGCTGTAACATAAAACATGAGAATCATCGACAATAAGGTTCTTAGAAAAACAAAACAGCAGATACCCCTCAATGTGAAGATAAGAGGGATGTGAACCTGTTTTCTAATAAAGGGTGGCATAAACTCAAACAAGGCAGACGCCCAAGGCGATAGATGAGAAGAAATACTATCAACGGAAACACCTTGGCTGAGCAAACCATGAATTTCCTGGGACATACAAGATGTCAGTACCATAGCATCATATCCAACTAACAAATACCCACATATCTCAAAGAAACTGGAGAAACAAGTTGCCAGGTTGCAATTTTGCTTGAAGAAAAAGCATTATAAAATATGAAGCTTTTTAAATAAATTAAGTGTGAGAGAGTGGGGTTAACAGTGGAGGAACAATGAACTTTAACTGCATGGTTACCTGCAAGAGAGCATACACTTCAGGAATGCTTTCAATAAGCCCCTCTGGTAGCAGAATGACTCCATGGTACTTTTCTGGTGCAGAAACATCATTTCAGATAAACAAATAAAAACAATAACCACAAAGAAAACATCAGCAACTTAAGTCTCCAAACCTTGGTTTGCCCTGGCTTGCACTGCATCACAAATTTGTTTTGTCAAGTCAAAAAGAGTGAGCTTTGACACAGACACCTCCTCACCAAGAATAACCTACAAGGAACATATCAATGTTTTTCCAAGAAGAACATGAAGGGCTCTAGAAGGCAACAACCTCTTAACTGAAATATGAAACTGAAATGATAATGAATAAAGGAATACAAACCATATTTGGATGTGACTGAAGCGTGCATTCCAAAGCAACATGAGATGCCTTACGGCCCATGAGTCTGATAAAATAATAATACTGCAAAAGAAAAAAATAATAAGTCTCAGGTTTTAGCAAGACAAAAAAAGAAAAAGAGTAACTCAAAAAACACAGAAATAGGAACTCAAAACAATAAAATGGTGCTGGAAGTTTGAAGCGAGACGACAATAGTCATTTTGATTTTGTTACAAGCAGTTCAAAAACCAGAATGTAAAAAACATGGCTCCCGAAGGAGGGAGTATTTGACTTGCATGAATTGACTCTGTTACCTTCTCTGCAGAGAGAGCATCAGTGCAGACATTGCTAATCAGCTGAGAATTAACCTGAATATAAGACAAACTAGACTATTCAAATTCTTCCTCACAATCATTTAATTGCATATATTCTCAACTCAAGAATAATAAGAACCCAAATTAGTCCCCATCCAAAAATTAAAAGCGGCAAAAAGAAACAAGTCATCGACTTTTGCAAATGTATAATATCAAGCTAACAACCTCAAATCAAGAAGCTAATAAAGAGAAGCTTCTCATAGGTCATAATTTCCCCTCGACCCCAAACAGTGACCACATTATCTGTTCCACAAATCTAAAATTTTGGCAACATCATTATGCCAATGCTTAGAAGATGGGAATGAGCAGAGCATAAATATGCGTAACAATGTGAAGTCCAGCTACAAGGCCATCTTACTTTTGGAAATACTGACAAAGGGGATGCTGAAAGAAGATTAAGAATGTAAAATTGTTCATTTTCCCAGTTCACTTTCCTCAATTTTAATTTTTTTGGGTCAAAAGATTAAAATTGATTCAAAATGCAATCTAATAATCATAATTTTATTTTATTTTTATACTTGATGTAGAATCAATTTATCATCAATGAGAGCTTTAAAAGAATTAATTTAATTATCAATTAAATTTAAATTTATTTCATCTCATAAAATTTAGTTCCTTCATGTAAACTTTCAAGAGCATAGAACAAATACCTTACATATCGTATCAAAACCAACATTAGTTTCAACAAATTGGTTCCTGAGATCTCCATTTAAAGTAACAGGAACCCCAACCACCTGCAAAATCCAAATGGTCACGCTAACATGTTGGCCCACCAAAAGGAAATACTGGACGAAAGTTGAATAGTTTTCTCAACAAATATATTAAGAAATCAAACAATTAGTGATGAGGAAATACACAAATAACCTGAGACAAGATTTTGAGATGAAATAAAAACAACTATGACCGTGACGTTGCAATATATGATGATAATGATGAAAGATATCTCTTTCACCAGGAAAATTCCACATGCATTATTTACCTTCGTTGAGCATTTTGCTTCTGCAAATGTTTCTGCAAGTTGAGCTGCATCTGTGTTTGATGTTACCCCTTCAAAGTAACCAAACTTTAATGTTAAAGAATTTGAAGTTCTACACGTAGTAAGGTAAGGCCAAAGCTGAGGTCTGTAAGCAGTCAATTTCCTCCCACCACCCAACATATTGTGAACACCACGGGGTAATGGCATTCAAAGTATGATGAATATTTATAGTAAACCCAAAGGGAGAACGCCAATATACCTCCAATAACGACAAGGCCATCCAACTTCAAAGCAGTGCATGCAGCCAGTGCATCATTAACTTGCTTAGTTGTTCTTATTTGATCTTTTGTCCGTCCCAGCAAATCAAAACCACCTAGAGACAGGATTACATCATATTTTTAGGTGGAAGATGGAAATGTCAATGCAAATATGGTCTGGTATTCAAATACTACCTTGATTTTTGTAGGTTGCAAGAATGTCATCTGTGATCTCAAGAGTTTTCTGTGCAAATAAACCTTCAGAACCACCTGAAAATAAGCACACAAAGTTCTTTAAGGTAAATGTCATTCTCCTCAATAAAAGTTACACACTCGTTTATAGCAAAAAACAAAATGAAGGTAGAGAATGTTGATTGTTTAAAAACCAAGTATTGGAAGGGTTGCAAATTACCAAAAAAACCTTAAAAACTAACATATTTTACAAGTGAAGTTGAATATGCAACCAAGAAATGTGATAAAGGATCACACAAACCAAGTAATAATTTTTGTGTGTAATTGACCAGCTAATATGACAAATGAAACAACATTAGAAAATTCATTACAAACCAATATAGATCCAATTTCAAAATACATACACAACACATACATATAGATATATGTAAAAATGTAAGCAGGTTCTATGCATTAAAAAACACCAAATGCCACAACAGAAAAAGGGTGTCACTTACCTAAAAATCCAAGTAAAGTACTGTTACGGTTGTGAATTTTGAGAGCATTGTGAAGACCCCATATAACATTATGTCCTCCAGGAGATTGCCTCCCACAGAAGACCACTCCCACTCTGCAACCAAAAATAATAATTAACAATAATAAGCACGAGAAAAACTTCAGTACAACAGACACCACATCTTAATGATAATATGGTATCACTGTTATATTGAAGGTTTTTCTCAATAAGCACATGTAATCATACAGAATTTTCCGACTATATATTGTAGAGATATGTCAAACAACATGGCAAGTACTTGTATGATGTAAATAGTTTCTCACAACATCCTCCACTTCAATCAGAGGATAATAATAATCTATAAAGGATAAAGAACATTAGAGCAAGAAAACAGAGAGCAGCAAGTTACATTTGGAAAATGAGCTAAACAGAATTTACACCTGAACACCATCGGAAAATATTTATTTGGATTCCTAATTCCTATCATTGCGCCAACTTACTTGCAATAACAATGAAAGGTATGTGACGTGATCATCAAATGTGTACCTTATTGCTGGATGATCAGTAATTATCTGAGCATCAGGGACCTTTGCATTTGCTCTAAGAAAGTGAGCCAAAGGCTGACCATATGTGTGCGGAAAGATGCGACTGATGGTGCGGGCACCAGAGGAGTCTGCTGCGGTAGTTGCATCGCCAAATTCTACCCTGACAGTAGTTCCCTGTGTAAACGGCAACATAGCATTAATATAGGCCCACATAAATCGGTAAAAAAAAAAAAAAAAATCAAAATCTCAATTTAGAATTAAAAAAAAAAATAAATTATCAGTAAAGTGGAGCAATACAAGTAGGTTACCAAACGACACCTAATAGTCTCAGCAAAACACAAACAAGTCGAGGGGTATCCCAGGAAAAATATAACCAGGAGGATAAATGGAAAATGTCCCAATTGCAATACATTAGACTTGACGGAAATTCAAATTTGTGTATATTAAATATATGAGCAGATGATCCGTAGAAACTGATGCTTCTTTTGAACGAATTCATCATTCATCGGTTACACAATCAGACAAACAGAGGAAGGCAAGCCAGGTACACCAGGTTAGTTGATGAAGCAAGCCAAGAGTGCAATGAAAACAATTAAGAAAAATAACGAGAAAAGCAAGAAACAAGCGATCCGATGAGAAATAAGTACATAATTACTCCGATCAACATAACAATAAGATGGAAGAATTATTTAAAACACAAAATCCAAAATATCAAAGAACAAGTGGCGATTCATCTAATAACGTTCATTAACCGTGACGCGATTTCATTACCAAGTTGTTGCAGAAATTCCGCTTCAAGGAGTGTTGTAAGAAAGCCAGCGATTATGTATGAGACAGAGAGTTCAAGAATGGCCATATCATATCATGATGAGTATTGTATTATTCACAAAACAAACAGAAATAGAAGAGGAAGACAAAAGAGAGAGAGAGAGAGAGAGAGAGAGAGAAAAAAAAAACTAACCCTAAGAAATGAGAAAGAAAGAGAGAGCGAGTGAGAGAGAGAGAATCGAAGATGGAAGGACCTGAAGACATGGAGGAAGCAAAGGCTGGTAGGTAGATCGAAGTTCTTGCAAATCGGAGAGTTCTCTTGGAATTCCGTAATCTGAATCCATTTTCCTTTCTTCTCCGCAGATTGATACTACTACCTACTCGAATATGTGCGGGTTTGTTTGTTTTGTAGTGGTGGTTCTCTCTCTCTCTCTCTCTCTCTCTGAGAGACACGAAGATGGTTTTATATGGGACTGGGGCAATGCAACCAACCCAAAATCCAGCAGCAGTCTAACCTTCCGGTATTATTACTGCCAGTTATCCCATTGATTTCCCGATTATTACAGCACTGCCACTCCGTCCCTGTGAAGTGACCTATATGCCCTCTAACCTTATTTGAGGCCATCTCTAACACTTCATCGCATCCTTTATTAAATTTAAATTTTGTGAAAAAATATTTTTTTTTATACTCCAATAGTTTTATCAAATTTATATCAAATTGAAAAAACAGTAAATATCAAATTGAGAATCTGGACACCTTTCACCATTTTACTGGGTATGAACGTTGAGAATAAGACCCACCGAACGTCCGGCTAGATGTCCCCCGATCGTCCACTTACTTGAACAATTTCCACAAAAATAGGTAACAGAGTGTTGGTAAAATGGTTTGTACAACCATGACTTTTAGGTAATTTTGAGCCTAAATTGAAATGGGCTCCGAATATCGATTGAGGTGTGTCCGAGTAGAATTACATTCTTTGTTAGGTGATAATTCACTTCGTATATTTGGTTGTTCAAACTATTTTCTGAGTTAATGCGAAATTGACTCCGAAAGAGGCTTCGACAACACGGTAGTTGCTCTGTTTTCTTCATTATCATTTAGCTTTCCGCATTACAAATATAAAGCAGAGTATGTATGTATGTGTATGTGTGTGAATGAAATGTGAAAGCGCAAAACAAAGAAAGAAAAAGAATAGAATAGAATAGAAGAGAGAGAGAGAGAGAGAGACGAGCCTAACGTCGGCGTAAAACATCCTCTGAATCACTCTAAAATCCTCTCGGATTCATCAAATTTCTCATTTTCCCAATCAAATCTCTTCACCTTCTTCATCAATTGATCACCATCGTAACTGCTCTCATCTATTTCAATTCCTTATACGCGTGTTATATCTATATACACGTACGTTTGTGTAATTCGCTGTTTGTTTTGCAATGTTTTTTATGTATTTGGATAGTTATGTTGTATATTAGTATAGATTTTTTTTTTTTGTAATAATTTGTTAATTGGAATTGAATTGACTATGAGGTTTTTGTGTTTGACAATTTTGGTTAGATCTGTAATTGTTTGGAGGCGAACATGGGCTATATGGATGAGTCTGGTTGTTGATTTTTTTTCCCCGCGATTGAACAGTAGAACAACCAACTAATTCAGTGTTTAATCTTTTAGGATATCAGAGAGATGGATTTGGTATCCAGTTAAAAGGTATTTTAATTTTTGACTTTGGTTTCGTGGAATTTATAATTCTGAATTATGTGTATATACTGATTTTAATTGTTCACAAATTGATTACTGTTAGTTGAACATTGCGAAGATAGTAAACTTGTTACAAGAATGCGAAGTTCACATAATCATTTTGGGGCATGCCAAATATTTTTTTTTTTTTTTGGGTAGCAAAGAGTTCATCCATTTTTTTGATGATGTTGAGTACTATAACTATCTGATATTCTGGTGGGATGTGTTTTGAATTTGTGAAGTATGTTTACTTTTTATTTAGATCATATCAGTGGAAATGGAAATTAACTCAATCTAGCATTTTGTTGCATATCCTGTGTGTTGATATCAACTCAACCTACCCCTGCTTGCAGAATGATTAAAAAGCTGCCTTCTTTGGGAGGAATGTTGCGCTTGCGAGAGAGAAATGGTTGATTCTGGACATCTTCTTCCTATGTAATTGTATAAGTAGTGTGGGAGTTATAGTTTCAGTTATCATTCACTTTTTTTTCGTTTTGTGCTGCCTTTGTTTTTTTTTTTGTTTTTTTTTTTTTTTTTTTTTTTTTTTTGAGTTTGAGAAGATGCATTGTCTTACCTAAACCACCCATACCCACTATAGGAATCACAGAAACATTGTTTCCAACCTAGTCAACCCAAAAGGCATGACTAAGAACTCATAATGGCCATACCGCGTACAGAATGCCGTCTTCGGGATGTCCTCTTCCCTCACCCTCAACTAGTGATAATCCGATCTCAAGTCTATCTTTGAAAAGTAAGAAGACCCCTTCAACTGATCAAACAAATCGTCTATACGTGGCAATGGGTACTTGTTCTTAATAGTCACCCGGTTCAGTTTCCGGTAATCAATACAAAGTCGTAATGTGCCATCCTTCTTTTTGGCAAAAAGGGCCGGTGCTCCCCAAGGCGAAGTACTAGGGCGGATAAAACCTTTGTTTATCAGTTCTTGGAGCTGAATCTTCAACTCACTCAACTTAGTAGGTGCAAACCTATACGGAGCCATGGAAATCGGTGCCATGCCCGGCACTACGTCAATAGAGAACTCAATCTCTCGGTGAAGTGGTAAACTAGAAAGATCCTCAGGAAAGACATTCGGGTACTCACAAACTACTCTTGGCAACTTAATCCAAACTATATCACTCTTTGCCCCCAAGAATGCAGCAAGAAAGAGGCTAAGCTCGCCCCGACCACGCGGGTCACAAATCGGCAACAAAGCTCTATCAACCCGATCTCCCAAGAAATAAAAGCAGTCACCGCTCGAGGTACACACAGTAACCCTTTGACGGTAACAGTCTATAACAACCCGATATGTAGACAACCAATCCATACCCAGTATAACCTCAAAACTCAACATATCAAGTAAAGCAAAAGAAAATAGAAGTCGACGACCGGCAACCTCTATATCACAACCCTGACATCCCTGTTCAAACACAATCTTACCTCCAACCGGTGACTTTATACAGAGTGGCAATGCTAACCGAGCCAACTCTAACCCCAATGCCGATGCAAATACAGACGAGATAAAGGAATGTGATGCACTCGTGTAAATCAATACATTGGCAATAGAATTGCAGAACAAGAGGGTACCTCTCACAACCGAAGGTACTGGCACTAACTCTGGCTTGGTAACAGCATAAACACGCCCAGTAGGTCTCTGATCCATCTGCTCCCCTCTCGGAGCATAAGTCGGATGTACAAACTGAAATAAAGAGGCTTCAAGAGTGGCCCTCGAGGCCTGTGCCGATTGTGCTGGCTGGTGACTCTAAGTCTACCTCGATCCAGATGCACCATGTGTGTCACCCAACTGTGGATAGTACCTCTTCATGTGTCCTGCCTGTCCACACTGAAAACAAGTCAAAGACTGCCCCCTCCCTTGACTCTGGCTCGGTGGACAGATTGAAGATGGAGCAGACCGTTGTCTTCCCTTCTTCTGTGGGCAAGAAAAGGACTTGTGACTCAACTGGCTACACTTGAAACAATAAAATCCTCCCTGGCCACCTCTCTTTGCCCCTGAACCCGGCACTGGAAACAAGACTGTGCCCCATGAGACTACTGTAGTGTAAAACCCCTCTGCCTCTTGCTGTCTCGGGCCTCCCCATGCGTCTCCTGGCCTTTCTGCCTGAAACCCCTCATCTCTCTCTCTCCAACTCCTAACCGTGTTTCCATATGTGTCGTTGCCTCAACAAGACGGCTGTAATCCCTCGTTATAGACCCGTCCACACAGTAGGCAAGCTCATCTCTCAGTCGAGTCTCAAACTCGATACAACGGCGCTCCTCCGTTGCCACAAGCTCAGGAGCATACCTGGACAAACTAGCAAAAGTAGCCTCGAACTCTACCACCAGTGTGCCATGCTACTGTTTGAGGTTCTTGAACTGTTCCCTTAACCTCTCTCTGACAGTAGTAGGCAGATACTTTTCTTGAAAGGCGTTGATAAAGGCCTCCCAGGTCACCCCAATACGTCATCGCGTGTATTTCCACCACTGACCTGTTTCTCTCTTCAGCTAAAAGAATGCCAAGGTCACTCTTAGAGCATCGTCCTCAATGTCTAGCATCTCGAACGTCTTAACCGTCTGCTCTAACCACTCATCAGCCTTCAGTGGCTTCTTAGGATCTCCCACAAAAATATCCAGATTGGTTTGGAAGAACTCCTTTTTTAGCAGGAGTGGTCCTATCTCTACAACTGAGGTAGCTGGGGCCTGTGCTAGGTTCTCAACCTTCAGTATGTTTAGTGCCCCTGCTATCTCTCGTGCCAAAGCACCCATGGCCTGTTGTCCAGCTGGCTCAGCCACATTTGCCTACCCTGCCCCCTCCTCCTACACCGAAATCTCATCCGATATTGGCATCTCGTGTCTCCTTGGCCTACCACGTCTACCACTGCCCCTTTCACATTCTTACATCCTAATAAAGGTAATATTCGAAATTAGCACAATCACAATTGTGCCGAAGCTAACTCACTCACGTCCTAGGGCAATGGACAATAGTTAATTTGTCACACTCTCAAATTAAAGCATATGACAATCATGCATAAGATCCATAAACGTAATAGGAAAGTTATATTTCATTTATCAGAGTTTCCTTTACAAAAGATATCACATGCATTACATTTTCATTGATATTTATCCTGAAACTATAGCATGTAATTCTAACTCCAAATAAAAAAGTAAATGCCCTACGGGCTTACTTCTTTCCAAGCTATTACTTGGTTACAGCAAGAGAAGAGTTCTAACTCTTTTACATATAAAGCCCTCGGCTTGAGTTTATATCTAACATAAAAAAAAATCATCAAAAATGAGCCTTCAACTCCTAAACCTCCCAAGCTAAGATCTTGGAGGCGGCATGTCACCTGTACCTGAAAAATGGTGTCCCAAGTAGGGTGAGATAAAGCCCAGTAGAGATATACTAAACAAGATATGAGAATTAACTAAAATATTAGCATCCGATAAATGTTAGATACATAAGACCAACTTATACACTTTCCATACCCAATCGACATTTGCATCCACGTTTCAACCTATTTCCTTTTATTCATCCAAATCAATTTAAAATGAGATTATAACTCATATTATTAACACTTCAATCAGAAACATCATTCATGCACTTCCATTCACTTGCCATTTTACACAACTACGTCCGAGGGAACCGGCACCCATAAATAGATATGATTTCGGGACTTTCACCCAGGACACTTCGGCCAACTTAGTTATCAATAGAGTCCATCCCCTATCTCCCCCCACACAATAGAGTACATCCCCTATCTCCTCCC